TGTGTGTGTGTGTGTGTGTGTGTGTGTGTGTGTGTGTGTGTGTGTGTAAGAAAAGTATTTACCAGTTTTAAAAGAAAAGTGAAAAATGTTAAAACTGTTTGTTCAATAATGCATTATACACAATACATAGCTTTACAGTGATGTTTTAAAAATATTGTCAATTTTTAATTTCAAATTGCATGGGATTGAAACTAATTGACTAAACTGTTTAACTTAAAGAAAGGCTTAACCTAAAGGAGTTTTGTTTTAAATATTTTTGATAAGTAATAATTTTGAATGGTAACATTTTAAACTTTCATCTGTAACACTTCTTTGTATTCAGATTTCATCCGAAAGTTAAAAAAGATATTAAACTATTGTGTATATGTGATAAATAGGTGCAGTGTCATAAAGGACAAAGTAGTCCCATACAGTGCAGCACCACTAAACCTCGCTGTATACTGAAGTGAAATAGGCAATCATTCTTGAAGGTGAATTAATTTAGTACCCTATAGCTAATGAAAGAACTTCCCCAATGTTTTAATTCTAGAAGAATTATATTGCAGGACCACAGGACACCTTGGATAGATACGTTAGACTGTGGTGCAGAAATAATAAAATGGAATTCCAACCAGTCCTGACCTAGAGATGAACTGCTTGAATTTCCTTATGTTTTATAATCGCATGCATCATGCAAAGAGTGGGCAAACTAGTTATAAACATAAGAATCAACAGAATCATAAGAACGGCTGTACTGGGTCAGACCAAAGGTCCACCTAGACCAATATCCTGTTTTCTGACAGTGACCAATGCCAGGTGCCCCAGAGGGAATGAACAGAACAGGTAATCATCATGTGATCCATTCCCTGTCGCTCATTCCCAGCTTCTGGCAAACAGAGGCTAGGAACAAACATGGGAGATTGTTTGAGACTATGATGTCTGGGTCATGCACTGTATGGAAGAAGCATGACAGAAGACACACAATTTAGCCAGCAGCTGCTAGTGTGGATGTCCCACTCTGAAACTGACATATTTCAATATGGAAATCATGCTCTAAAAGCTTCTTTACTATTACAGTACAAGGGAACATTTTAGTCATTATCATGATAACTGTGTGGCAGTTGTTCTATTTAAAGGCTATAGTTTCTAGAATACGTTATCAAAATCCAGAATTTGACAGTTCAAATTGCAAAGCTCCTACTGGTCATAATGCTTTATCATAATGACTGTTAGGATTGTTAACTTTGTTGCTTGGAAGGATCTGAGGTTTCGTTAAAATAGCTGCACAAAGCTGTCTTTATAGTTATCTGTGTTTCTGGGACATAAGATTTTAAAATATCCACTGAAGTTAGTTCATCCTTTTCCATGCATGGATAGCTGTTTTAACCCTTTCACTATATGTGTTCCAGTATAAGCTTTCTGTAGTTTGCCTATGCGAAGAATGTAGTGTCTGTGGCATCTAAAGGTACAATGTACCTTATAGGTTGATGATTTGTTCTCCCTTCCCTCTGTGCTGCAAAGCAATTGGTACTTCTCGTGTTTGTTCTTTCCTGTTCTTTTCACACTGTTGCTTTTTACTCTTATCTTTTTCTTCCTCCTTTTTAGTTCACAACCTTATTAGCTCCCTCCCCTTTCCTATTCAGTCATTCACCAGAAGGTTACATGATTTTTCATGTCTTATATGTGCTAGAGACAGCTATTGGGAATGAGCTGGTGGTTCAATGAAACTGAGCTGCATGTACTCTCATGGCCAGAGTTGAGTTTTTCATAACCAAAGAATTGGCTGCAGAATCAGTCCTTTGCTGCAGAATTCTGCTTCTAAACTTTCATTTAAAAAACAAAAACAAAAAACCTAGCGCTTATTTGTAAAGGTAACCTTCCAAATGCGATCTGAGTATAAACTAATGCAAATCTGTGTTCATTGGTTTCCTGAGTTTTTAGACAGCCTGTGAAACAATATTTTTGAGAAATGTGAACCACCCTCATTCATCTCAGCAGGTTAATTCTGAATCCTAGTAATAATTTCAAAGTCATTAATCATTTTAATATTGGTAGTTTTAGCAGAGAGAACTAGCTAATGTACTCTTTAGCTATATTTTTGCAGGTGTCCAAAAGCTGCAGCAGCCCTGTGGCCAGCTATTAAGACTTCTTGCTTCCCCTGTGATGAATTATAAAATGCAGTTGTGTTTTCACTTCAAAAATCTGGGCCACTTCAAAGGGTTTGTCTATCTTAGAAAAAGAGGGCAGGATTAGATAGTTAACATGTTTTGTTAATTCTGTGATCACTATATCGTTTTCTCTAGTGTAACACGTGTGTACTTAAATTGAACTTGTTGAGGTGCTTTTCAGATAACTGCCCAGCCCAATACTACTTGTACTTTCAAAGCACATTTGCAGTGAGGGACAATGGATCTGAAGTATTTTCTTCCTTAACTTCTAAGCCACTGACAAAATAGTAAGGGGCCCTGCTGTCAAAATTGGGCAACACTGAGTAAATGCTTTGTGTGTGCAAGCTGTAGAGCATTACACTGATTACTTTGATAGGATGTGTCCTTGAATTGGAATGCTGCTACACGATCAGTGATCATGTGGGCACCAAGAGCTTCAGTGGTGTTACAGGATAGCCCTACATAGACTGTCCATCCATCCAGACCATCTTAAGGACTTTCCTAAAGAATGATCCAGGTGGTGCTCAATCTGCAAGAAGGCTACTTCCTTTTGGGATTTGCCTTGGTTATTATGAAGATAATGTACTTCAAGCATATATCAATGATTTTACTAAGTGCTGATTTAGAGACATAACTGAATTCATTTGGTTATGAATTGATATAAACTGGTTGTAAATTGATTTAAGGGTGTTCATGCAGGAGTTTGAACCAGTTTAAATAAATTAATTTTAAACTGATTTTAATTAAATTGGTAAAAAAGTATAGACAAGCCTAAATCTGTTTTGTGGGATTAATTTACATATTTAAAATTTGTTTGTTAAATGTATATAATAAAATATACAGGATGTGCCACATGGCTGGCTAAATGAAGCTAACTCTTCTGTTTCCTGATGTTTGAGTGTTTAAATGCAAACTTTAACATAAGAATTTGTGTTCTTTAATATGTGAAGCGTGCTGTATTCTGCATTGACTTCTGCAAGAGATGGTACAAGTGTAGATCCAATTGTCTGACTATCTTACTACTGGGATTTATCTCTAAATACTGTTATCTTCAACCACTGTGAGTTGATCTTCTCCTACACACTGAAATGTCTTCAAAACAAATGCTGTTTTATGGTTTCAGAAAATAGCAGATATTGGTAAACACCTATAAAAATCATTGTGACATGTCCCCGTGTGCAGGGGACAAAGAGTGGGGATCTCTGATAAAATCGGGACTACTGACAATCCTAAAATAATAGACCTTCAGAATGACTCAAGGAATGTACTACAATGAGGAGGAGGAGTAATAAAAAACCCTCATTTGTCCTTGGCCTAGCCCCTCTAATTTGAGATCATATGTTTATAATATTAATTTCTCCCTTTTTTGCTAAATACACAAAAATGGCTTAGGCTATTGCACAAAATGTACAGTGCTGAACTCTGTAAATCATACAGTTCTAAGCTCTCTTTCTTGGCGGCGTATCTGACTTTAACGTTGCTGATCTCTTCTCTGCCATCTCATCCCCATAGCATCCAAGGATTTTTTTTATCCTTCTGCCTTCTAACAAAACCTGAGGTGCATCAGTGAATAGAATACATATAAGCCGGAGTCTGCATCAAGTTATTATGTGTGCTAGAATCAACAGCTTGTTCAGTGTTTTAATAAAAACAGTTTTGGTTAACCCCCACCACAACAACTGCCACTATCTCTGGAGAAGAAAATAACTACATGTCAAAATGGGGGGAAACAGACATAGGAGAGAACTCATTATAGTCTCATTGTAAGTCTGTAGTCTCAGCTGAGACTTCAGCTCTGACAGCAGAGAGCACAAAGAGCAGCACGCTAAACCAGGACGCATTAATTCACTGAGTTATTGTGTTGATCCTCTTTCTAACCTTTTCTCTCTTTTAAATATTTGGCCAACTTAGATTTTTTAAATTTTTTAAATAATCACATGCTAGCTCCTGTAATTTTGTCCCTTTCCTAATATAGGAAGTTTTGAAAGTTTTGGTAACACTTTCTGAAGACACTCATTTCTATTAGAATTCTTAGAAAACAGCACTTTCCATTTATCGCTAATGGTTATCGGTGCTATTTTTATGAAATGGCCAGATTTTGAATGCTCTGAGGCTGTTTTTGTATTACTTCGCCACTGTTGCATTGTGTGACCATATGCATGTCACTTAACCTGTATGGGCCTCAGTTTATGCACTTGTAAAATAGATACACTGTTTTACCTAGTAAAATGCCAAATGATAATGGTTAGGAAGGTGGCCTATATTGTTCACTTATTGAAAAACAAGTTGTGAAGCCTCTAATTTGTACAATTACTTAATAAAAATTATGAATATATGGAACCTTTGTATTCCTGTAAATATCACACATCTTTCCCCTCTGTTTTGTTCTACATCTACATTTTATACTTTCTCCCTATTTATATTGTCAGCTTTTTATGGCAAAGGCTGTTCTTTTCTTTTGTCTTTTGTCTTTTCTCTTCCTTTTTTTCTTTTCCTAAGCAGCATCAACCCAATGGAGTTCTGTTCATGACTGGATTCTCTTGACTCTAGTATAATATAAATAATTTCACAAAGGTATCCTGCTTATATAAAGTACTTGGAGATGCTCTGATGAGAGGTGCTGTACAAATTCAAAGAATTATTAATGACAGTGTGAGAAAATTAAATTGTAGTCTCAAGTATAGTAGTTTCCATGAACTTTCTTTCTCCCCCCCCACTCCCTTAAGTTATTGAATTATTCACCTTCTGTTAACTATTTTTACCCCCAAAATAGGTAAAATGTAATGTTTTTTTCCACTTTTTTTTCCAGTTTTGGCAAGCAGTCTGGAGGAAAAAGAGGATGCGAGTGTATTATATTGGAACCTTCTGAAATGATTGTGGTAAGAACAGACTTTTAAAAATGTGCTTAATACTTCTGTATATTTTAGCAACTGTTTTGTACCTGGTAACAGAAGGCTTTTTGTAAAGCTTCTTATAAAATTACATTAAAATTGGTCTGATTTCAATTATACTCAGTGCTACCTTTTCATGACAGCAACTAGATGGGTAATGATGATGATTAGGATTGTAATGTCAACCTTTCTAAAATGACTCATTTTTTTTCTGTTTTACAGACCCACCAGTGCTAACTAATTGGGTACTCCTCAGTCAGCATTAGTCAGTCCTACTGTATATGTTCATATATTTTATCTCCCATTTTATTCCTTTTTCACTAGCTCTCCCAGACATGCTATCTCTGTTAGCTAAGGTACTCTTGGCCTTTGCGGTTCCACTTAATATGAAGACCTGTGGTGAAGTAGGGAGGCATGTAGGGAGCAGTGGTGGAGCCAGGTTTTGCAACTGGCGGGGGGGCAATTGATCATTGGTTGACTGCAGAGTGAGCCCAACCTGCATTCATGCGGCAGCAACAGCTCCTATCCTGCGGGGCTAGGCCTGGCTCCCCTCTCCAATTGTTGTGACATGACGGAGTCACTGGTGGGCCAGATTTGTGTGAATGGTGTTGCGACATGGCACACAGGATTGCAGCACCACGTAACTCTGTGCGCCATGTTGCAATGCCCAGAGTGGATAGCTGGGCCCAGCCCTGTAGTATGGTAGCTGCCACAGCCAGGTGAGTGTGGGGAGGGTTCTCTTTCCACCCCGTGTGAAAATGCATGCAGTAAATCTCCTCTTTTCAAATGAATAATATGCTTGAAAAGGCACACACATAACCTTAAAGGACAATGGGTGAGGGGGGCAGTTTCACCCTTTAAACCCCCTCTCCCCATTAGCTCCACCACTAGTACTGAAGATTAGCCAGTTCTTGAAATTTGACTCTCTGATCTCAGATTTATTCTGCCTTTGCTGTTCCCGGCATACCTGCGTGCTTTGGAAAAGCTAGGGAAAAGACTTTGGTTTCTTTAGGATTATTAATACTGCCAAATTCAGTTTGTGGATTGTGATTTGGGTCTTACCCACACTGACACACAAGTCCTATCAACAGCTGGAACATTGGAGCTGCTTTCCCAGAGTACATTTCCAATGTTATTGTCCTACTACACAGGGCCCTTCCAGAATGCACTTGCATTGTACTGAGACCAGGCAGATCTTCTTCAGGTTTGTCTTTCTATTATGCCGCTGTCAGGTGTGAAACAAAACTATTGTGGGACTATAACGTCTCTGCAGTGGCTGAAAGGCTCCTAATCGTTACCTCAGTCTAACTTTCCAATCCAGCTTCCCTTGTTGGTAAACATGTTTAAGTTAAACTGATAGTGATAGTTTAGAAGCCCTGTTTGAAATGACTATACTGACAAAGGTCAGTATCTGAGCAGTAAAGAACAACGTGTCAGTTGCCCAGTAATATTTGGCTTCTGTCTGTCGCTTATCTGATTTTAACATTCTCTATTCGATAGTGTGTACCAGCACAGACACTTGGGGTATAGTTTCTCCCTAAGAGCAGATGGAGGCAGTTCATGAAGTCTTTTGGTGACATTACACCTCAAATTTGAGGGTCTAGCTAGTCTGTCTTCAGTTGTTGCATCCTTCACCAGCTGGAGAGAGAATCCTCGTGGTAGCTGGGCTGAAGCAAGCTTTAAAGGCCTAGGAAGGCCGTTGGCATGTTATTGAATGAAGCAGCTTTGATAGCCCATATGAGGTATGAACAGCGTACATGCCCACAACCCCATGCAACAAACTTCCCTAGCTGGCATCCATCATGACTGACTGTGATAAAGGTGCCAGGCCCCTGTCAAGGGCTCAGAAGGTGTCTGACTTTTTTGAGGACCCTTGTGCTTCAGTGTTGGGACTGAACTCTGACACTGAAAAACAGGCTGGCAGGGAGAGGGTTTTAACACCAGTTTGTCAAAGAGGAAGGCCCTTAGGAAAGCACAGATTGGACCCAGCCCTTCTACATGCGCAGAAGTCCTCAACCCAAGAACATTTCTTCTCCCTTTTCCCCTTCCCCAACCTCCTAAAAAGATAGCCCCTTCCTCTAAATAGAACAGAGAGAGAGAGAGAGTGAGCAGGAGGCCGAGTGGAAGGTGGTGACTCTCAGATCTCCTGTGAGTTTGCTATAATGACAGTTAGGATAATCATCATTTTACTTTGGAACTGAGAAAATTTGATCTGGAATCCTTGAGACACAAACATAGAGCCTGATGTGTCATTTGGAGCAGAAACTCACTTCAGGGCTAGTGTCACCCTTGTCCCCAGCTCCTGCTGCTGGGTGTGTCTGTGACATTATTAGAAGGCTAAGATCCTATCTCCATATGATGAGGGGGATGAACTATAATCCAAACACTGAAGAAAGGAAATTACTAAAGAGGGAACATTTCCCCTTAATACCTTTAGAGGCAGAATTTAAAGTTTTCATTGAAATGTATCTTGTAGTGGTGGTTGCTTGTTTTACAGTGCCCAAATGTGTACTACGTGCCTGAGAGTACAAGTAAGATTACAGAGTTATTGCCCCAAAGAGCTCACAGTCTAATTCAGTGAAGGGGTTAGTAATAGTAGTAGGGAGGAAACTGGTGTGTGTTAGTTTTTTAACATACAGATGAATTTAAGTCATAACAATGACAAAAGTCACAATTATGTTTTTAAAGCAGTCTTCAGTATCAAGCACTAGATAAAATTAGTCTTTCTCTTTCATTTATAATGAATGTTAGATGTTAAAAGTAAAAATAATAGGTAGAAAGTTTTCGGACAGAAGCATGACTTTTAAGATTACTGTCACTTTAAGCAGCAATATAACAGGCATTTAATGGGTGACTGGCATTAGTAGTATAACAAGAAAAAAGGAAGCCGGGGCTGAGGAGTAGAATAGTTTGGGCCACTTCCACAACATTTCTGAGGTAAGAAAATGCCATGTAAGTTCGTGATTGTCCTTTATGTTCTCAAGAACAAGTGTTAGCTGTGGTGGTGGTGTTCATGATTTCTTGGACTCTTTCGGGCTGTTTTGATGGTGATGTGTACAGAAATACTATGTGAAATGCCTCTGACATTATTTTGCTTATTACCACTTCAAATTTTTGCCTGTTAACTGCTGCTACTGCTGCTGGTGGGCAGAGCCGGATTTTTATACCGTTCTAATGTAAAAACTGATCTGAAGTTCCTTGGAACCTCTATATCCCAGTCATAGACTAACCTAGTTCCAAATTTAATTTCTCTGATAATTTTTAGGTTTTATATATTTACAAAAATTGTGATCGTTTTAAATGAAACAGACATTTTGAGGAGAGTTCTTGGGCCAAATCCTGCTTTGTGTAAATGTCCATGGTAAAGTCCATTTAGGTCAGTGGATTTAGACTCATTTAACTGAGAGAAGAATTTGGATCATTCTTTATAAGTAATTTAGGAACAATTTTTTTCTTACAATGTATTAATGCATAGTTTCATTAGTAAACCTGGTACAGTGTTGTCTGGACAAATTGCATGCATTTTGTGTTGCAACTCCTTTCTGATGTAGGAACTCTCTGAAGTGGGAAATGACTCATTTCTGTGACATGAAAAAAAATTCTATGATATTAGAGTTTTCCTAAAATGCTAATTGCTGACTCACTAGCTACCAATGTGATTTGCAAAATGACACAGAACATAATCTCTGGTCAAAATACTTGTAGGTGTACAAGCCTTAGGAAATACTGATGCCCTTATTTGTAATTGAACCAATGATACCATAAATATATTTTCATTTAATATCTAGAAATATAAGTGATCAGTCTAGTTATTTGGTAACCATCAAGCATATTGTAGACGTTACTGGAGAGAAATACATAACTTTTATACTCCTGTACTGTATTTTAAACTATTTGTGTTTAATAGTATGTATACAATTAAAAGTATTCTTAAATTCCAGTTAGGCAGTGCAGAGAAATATCTGGGTCTTTTAAATTCCTTTCTGGAACTTCAGTGTATTTTCTACCTAGGACAAGCAAATTACTAAAACACATTGTTTCTTCTCCATGATGTTAGTTTTCACTTTTTATAGCTAAACATAACTGACTAAATCGACAAAGCCTGTCACATTTCTACATGGAACTTAAAATGGGGAAAAAAAGGACACGCTTGTGGTGTACACATGAGTAATTATCTTCACAGCCTCACAGGAGCCTTGAGTTCAGTTCCCTGATTTTCTCTCATGTTTAATTTGTTTTTCAGTTTTGTTTTTTTGTTTTCAGTTACAAATTTAGCAGTTCACCCATTTTATATGAGGACCAGATAAAAACAAGAAGTGTTTGCCACTTCTCCACATACAAGTGCAGCATAGTTTATTAATAGGTTTGCTGACAGATTTTCTCATTTCTTGTTATCTCCTCCTTCTTCCTAGAATATAAATCAATTTCTTAAGGGGATTCCTCTGAGAACTGACCCGTTTTAAAGGCCATAAATGTGGTCAGCCTAAGCTAAGTTAATGAGGATAACAGATCGTACACGGATGGGCATGGCAAATCATATTTAGGAAGCTAGGTGATTTACTGGATTAACAAATAGACCTGTTTATTGTTAAACTGATGGTTTTAATCATATCCTAATTGACGTAGCCAAAAGTTGCAGCAGATCTAACTGTATTGCAGTCTCTTTCCCCCCTTTCATTCGTGGTGCTTCCTTTTTTCTTCTTTAGGTTCAAGCAGATGATTTCACAAGAGCAGCATGGTGTTTGTGAATAGAAGGATGTTACCCGCTAGCACTGGCTGTTGAGTAAAATTGAGTAAGATCATGTGATCCTATTCAATTTCTCTTTGCATCATGCTTAATGGGAAAAGCTGCTCCTTACAGAAATGCTCTGGTACTTCTAACTCTGCAGCTGTCAGTACTAAGTCAATAAAATTACATCTTTGACTAGAGTCATCCTAGTCTTTTCTGCTACACGCTGAAAATAAGGACTAATACTGTGACTGTGTAC